TTCCAGCCTTTGTTCCCAAAGGGGACCCCAATAATTTCCATAGCCTTGTGAGGAATACATGGCTAGACATATTATTGTGATATGTATATATTGGTCATGGTCAAATGGCCATTTTTTCTAAAACAATAATGTTTTATTTAAAATGCTATTGGTGCAAGACAAAATTAAAGGACAAAGGGTTTCATGTAACTGCTCATTGTTATTTTATGGTGTATATATTCATGCCTCTAGGTGTACAAGTCTTCTAGGATATTTATGGCAATGCTCTTTTTGACTCTGCCTTTCTCTTGTGCTCCAGCTACTTGTGATAAGAGGTACATGTCAAGCCAGCATGAGATAACCAGTCAAATAAGTTTTCTTAAGAACTTATGTGATGTACATTATATGTGCTACCACGCTTAGTCACCAAACAGTCAAAACAATGTCACACACTAAAATTAGAGGTTAGACATTATGAACTCCTAAGGAACATTTATAGGCCAATATTTCCTCTTAGATGGCATCCTATTAAAGGGTAACAAATAAGAGTTTTCTTTATGTCATTTAATGTCTTGTGATCAGATGGAGGTGTTTGACTGAAAGATTATTCCATACAAAGATGGATATTGTTACAAAGAAAATGTCATCATGATTGTCATGCTAAAAACACTATGTGTGGCTCTTGGTCTTAAGTGTCTATGATATATAACTGTTGTCTGTTAAGATTCTGCAGGTTAAACTACTAGAACAACCATGGTTGATAAGAAATAATTATGCTTTATATTTCAAAGTACTTAATGTCCAGACAAAATTATAATAATTAATCTCACTGCTCCTACTGCACTACTAATGTCACTGATCTTCTCTTCTGGGTGCTCAACAACTAAAGTTTGGAGACCAAAACTAGAAAGGTAACTGGGTTATGAGGACAGCCAATATTTTGACCCTATCCCCTAAAGGTCTACAAGATCCAGGACATAAGGAACCTTTCCTACAGGATCCTACATCTTTGGTAAGTCACTCAACCACCTAAGCAGGGATATTGCTAGACACCAGAGGACAAATGTACTGTGTGCCAAAGGGTCACAACAAGGGAAAAGTCTCCCATGCTTGCACTGAAAACAACATAGTCAAGCAAGACTGTGACCCATCCTGATGGCTGACACTGACAGAGGAGCTGAGAGGCTCTCTGCATGGTACCAAAATAATGCCTGAATAGACTTAACTGACCTTGATAGATAGCAAGAGGTTCATGTTGATTGATACAGATCTCACTTTAACTTGGTCTTAAACACCCAGTAGAAAATAATAACCAAAAGAGGTATAAAATAATGTCATAGTAATAAAACTAGATATAAAAACGGGCTCCAGTCACTGACCCCTTCTGGCAGTTTCCAGCTCTACCAGTAGCTGACCGTGGTTATGAATCATTAGAAAAAAACTATGGTAAATCTATAAAAGCTCAGCTAGAGTTTTATATTTCTTAGCAAAATTTATTCTTCAAATTGTCTCTTAGAGCTAAGACTAGAGAAACTTATGACAATGTATGAAACTTATAGATAACTTCTATCAATGAAAGAATCTAAGACCAACAAGTTCAATCACTATTTCAATTTCTAAGTCTTTCTCCCCAACCTGCCCTTTCATTCTAGTGTGCTCATGCTTAGGTTATACATACTCTAATTTCTTAAAAGTTTCATTTATTCTTGCCTAGAGGCTCCAAATTCCAAGCAGTCATACAAATGGAACCAATGACAAATGTGCTAGATTTCTTTTATCAGGATCCACCAGATCATCCATGTAAATAGCTCATAACTGCTAAACTGTACAAAATGACTTCTATGTTGGATTCTGAAGTCTCCTGGACCTTCTCCTCATCCTCTTTGTTGGCTATATTCATTAGCAATCCTGCTGACCTTATAATTTGGCCCATGCATTCTTAACTGTTTCTTTGGCTTTGTCTCCTCCAGACTTAAAAGCTATGAAGCTACCAAGATGACAATGCCAGGTGCCTACTGAAGGCCTTTAGATAGACCCTTTATAGAGTAACTCTAACTGCTGATCACAACTATGACCCTCTTCAGCAGGAAGTAGCCAGAGCTGTCTTCGCCCTTTCCCCGCTCACAGAAGTTAGGGGTACTTCTTCAGAGGGAGGAATATTGCAGATAGGTGAGTTAATTAGATATCTTGTCAGCAGTTAGACAGGGCCACCCTCAAGGAGCCAACATAATAAGGAGTAAACATGGAGAACAATTAAGACACATTTCACTGAAGGCCAGAATTGTACAAGGAGAGAAACTAGTATACCTTTGTGCTTCCCCTGGGGATAAATAACAGAGATTGATATTCTATATAGGTTTCAATCACCTGGTGGAGGGGCCAATGTCTTAACCCAGCCTTTCCAGGAAATATCCCCGACCCCCACCCACCCTTACTGAAAATCCTTGTACAGGCTTGCTATGAGACTTGCTCCCCTATTTGACCCCCATTTAATCAATATTACCTGGGTGACTGTACTTGTAATCTTATTGGTTGGTCATGGTTTTGCCCCATCTCATACCCACCTTGTAATTTTCCATTGGGTCTTACAGTTTTGTCCCACTTTGTACCTGCCTCACCACATGGCTTTGCTGTATAAAACATCTTTGAAAATTAGGGTGAGCAGGCAACCCACTTTCCGATCTCCCTTCTGTCTTTCTTAGCTTTCTTTCCCTTAATAAATTTTTCCTACTCTTAAAAACAATTAATAAAATAAAAATAAAATAATTCTCTGACAAATGTGGTTACAAATAAGATTCTACAGGTAAGACTGATCATAATCACTTAGTAAGAGATAGCCAAGAATAATTGAAGGAAAAAAGTGGTCATTTATGTCGAAAACAATTGAACATTCTTACTCTAAATAAAGCATCTTTCATTTCTTCAAGATTAGAAAGCACAGTGGATTAAATTTTACTATAAATTTATGGCCAGAAATTTTTTTTCTCTGTGGATACTAGTTAGGTAGTATGGTTTTAAATGTATGATCAGTAGGTTATTTTTAGTCTGTTTTGTTCTTTAAAAGCATTTCCTTTTAATTTGTTATAATTTATGGGAATAAAATTTGATCTTAACTGTTGTACGAATATCAAAACTGTCTAACCAGTATTAATTCTATGAATACTGACAAACTTCCTACTGAGAGTTAACTTTATCTAAACTCATCTTCTAGGACACAAGTGGGTGATATCTACTGGTGTCAGCAACATCGCCCTGAGGAGGTACCTCAGGTGCCATTAAGTGGTATCTATATCACAAGTTGCAAAGTTGCTCAACTAAAGGGCCAACTTGAAATAAAATGTTAAGGCCAGAATAAAAGCTTGAAAAACAGTAAGGATTTCAGACATTTTCAAATTGTTTTCTCAATAGCAAAAAAGACTAATTCTCCTTTCTACTTTTCTGGCATAATAACTTTATATTAATCTTTATTTAAACCAGTAGGCTTATGTTAAAAATATTCAGATTCATACATATTCATATAATAGTAGTAGTATTTATTACCATTGGGTACTTTATGCATCCTCATCTGTTTTGATTTTGCAACTTTTTACAAATAGTCCTTAAAGTCCTTTTTTTAAGTGATACTTAGGGATCCAAACGAAAGGCCTCATACATGTTAAGGCAAGAGCTCTACCATGGAGCTCTGCCCAAATGAGGTCTTGCTCACTGCTGGAACTTTAGGTCAACGAACTTGTTTAGAAAAGTTAAATAATTAGAAAATGTTTTTGTTGTTTTAGTTTTGCCATAGCTTCATAAGCTATAGCAATATTCATACAGGGCAAAAAGAGTTTATTTATCTGAAAGTGAAATTTCCCTTTTCTGAAAAGAAAAAGTGAAAAAGGAAGGGTATAACCAAACCACTGAAGCATAACAGGATATAAATTTAGGCTAAAACTGAGATATATTTCATGTAAGGAACAGGTATTAACTGCTTCTGAACTGAAAGGAAAGGAAAGCTTCTATATCTTTATATTAGGATAATGCAGTCCTCTTAAATGAAAAATCAGCCTCCCATTTGTCTGCGAAAGAACTGAGGGAATATTAATAAATATTGAACAAGTGAAGTCCACTTTGTAAATCAGAGAAGAGAAAACTGGAAATGTACTTATATTATGCCCAATTATCATTCCAACAAAGGAGGGCGAATGCTGCTTATCACTATGTGAAAAGAGGTCACTTTTTAAAAATAGTAATTTTTATTCTGAAAAAATAAATTAGGAATTTTCATTGGCAGTAAAAGCGATCTAATCTCTACATATAAGTTGACATATTACAAAGCTTAGTTAATTGATAACCATTATTTTTCCTATAAGCAATGCTAAGTAGTTTTTTTCTTTTCTTTTTTTTTGGTACTGGGGATTGAACTTGGGTCCTTGTACTTATGAGGCAGGTGCCGGAACCACTGAACCAAATCCCCGGCTCTAGTTTTTTTTTCTTATAAGGATTTTGCAACATATAGAATCTAGTACTCTTAAAAGGCTAGCTAACATTTAATACACTATCAGATGCACAGGACAGCTCTGCTGAGGTAGAAATGGTAGGTTTCAGAGACCAGTTGAAAAAACTCAGATTTAAGCATTATGCTATGTGACTACTTCATAGAGGTACTGAGTGTAGATTCTGAGTCTATTGATGCTTAGAGTCCAGAGCTCAGTCAATAATAGCAAGCTGATGAGTTAAGATTAGATTGCTCAGGAACCATTCTGCTTTTCTATTAAAAATTTTTAATACAATTTACTGATTTGTCAATTAAAGAACCCCAAACTCTGTCTTTCATTTTAAATTGGAAAAAATAGAAAGCCATCCAGTTAGAATGACTAAACAGTTACCTGAAAGAACAAACACATTACCTGACAAGACAAATTTATGACCAACTAAAATATCTTGATAGAGAATATAACAGTCGATGCACAAAGACAAAGACAAGGCAAAATTACAAGTTTGTATCACTCAACAATTTTTAGTTCATGAACTCAACTTACTTTCCATTTTCCTGCTGTTAATCAATTTGTTTTCCAATTCTTCCAGCATACTGTGCTCAATTCTGAAGTCATTTTTTTGGTTGTAGAAATGACTGTGTTTATCTTTCTCTATAATTATAACCCTTTAGGAAAAGAAACAAATGGTATAAATATGATTTAAATATATTTTTAGTTATTTAAAATATCAAGGCACTCATAAGAACCAGTACTTTATATTCATATTACTTCATTTAAACAGAAAGAATATAATTGCTTAAAAAGGCCATGGACAAAAATATTAGTCAAAATAATAGGAAAGAGTTAAACTCACCTAAAATCAAATGTAACTTTAGCTATTAAATTATAAAATATGAATTAAGAAAATGTAGTAACTTCTTACTTTTGAAACTACACAAGCCTTTGGGTATGGATTCCGATTCAGTCTCTTTGAAGGGTCTAAAAGGGCTGTCACTGCTGATGACTGCTTTCGGTAGAACATACTGTTAACTTTGAAGCCTTAGCAAAGATGTTAATCTCTCCTGGTGCGACCTTCTTCATTACTAACATGGATAATAAAAACTCTCCATTACCAGTCAGGGCATAATTAACACCAAAGGTGATATTGTATGGGAGAGACCTTTGTAAAGCATGCATATTTCTATTAGGGAAATACAAGTTACTAATAATATTATTTAATTCAAAGCTTCTTCTATTTTATAGTTGTTTCTTGGATTCAGTCATTTACCACTAAGGAGTTCTTTTAGTTTGATCCTTCTGTAAACAAAACAAAACAAAACAAAACAAAAACAAAACACAAAAAAATACTAATAAGAAAATTTTTTGTTTGGCCAAAGAAATTAATGTTCTCAACTGTTGGGGTTTTTTTTCCACACAAGGCAGAAATTGACATGAATATTTCTCCCCAATCTGGGATTTAATAAGTGGTGGAATATCTCTGGCCACTAACTTAATTTCACATACTTGAGGGCAACCATCTAAGATAGTTTCCTAGTCTTTTTCACCTTGCTGCATAGAGAAAAATTTAATATTTACTAGGCATACTGGAGAAAATAGGTGTTCCAGGACCCTCAGGCTGAGGGGTTTATATCTTAGCTCAAGCTTGTGTGGTTTGAGGCGTGGCAAGACACAGAACAGAAATAGTAGATTTCACTCTAAACCAACTGTAGCAGATTTAAGGTGGCCCCTGAAATCCTGTGTAAGGAATGGAAAGCCCATCTAGGCTCTGGGTGGTGGTGGGACTATTATTACAATCAAACAGAAATGTTTGCCACGGCACAGAATATGCTGTTACAGTAATTTATATGTTGCTATTCCTGGACTAGGAATATTAACCTTTGTACATATTCAAAACATACTAATGGAGAAAAATTGCCAAATGTAATCTCTAACAGAAGAAATGCAAAGTCCAGCTGTACATCATACACCTTTCAGGTTGACAAAAACAAACAAAATCACAAATTTAAATGAAATTACATACAATATTCATAATATATTCTGTTGAAACTATGCGAAAAGGAGTATTTTCATATATTGTTGGTAGAATTGTGAATTACCTATAAAGGGCAATTCAGCAATAATGATTGCCTTTGCCAATTTATATACCTTTGACCCACCATTTTCTTCTAGGAATTTATCCTGAAGATACATTCACACATGTGCAAAATACAGGGACTTAGGTGTACAATGCAATTAACTGCAGTATTGTTTGTTAAAACAAAAGACTGAATACAATCTAAATGTCCCATCACTATGGAAAAGGTAAATCATATTACAGTCTTACAATGGAATATAATGGTACTATGTTCTGTATACTACCACAAAGATTTCCAAAATAACATTTTTTATAATAAAATTTTTGAATTTTAATGTCAGGCCTGCTCAAAAATCAAGAAAAGTAAATAAATCTCCCTCATACACTCTCATAAGATGTCCTTCTCATATCTGATTCAACAATTTTACTTTTCTTTTTGCCTATCATTTCCCCCTTTTCTTTTTTGCTTTGCATAAATATTTTAGTAAATTCTTTACCCTATGCAATTTTTCTCCAATATATTTCTGTGTGAATCTCTAGAGGTTATGGATATTTAACTTATACAACTACAATGCCATTACAATACCTGACAAAATCAACAATTCATTAACACATATAAAAAAGGAAAAATCTGAATATACACTTTTTGGGGGGGTACTAGGGATTAAACTTGGGACCTTGTGCTTGAGAAACAGGCAGTGGAACCACTGAGCTAAATCAACGGCCCTATAAATATACACTTTTGATATCCTTATAAACACAAAGTATCTGCAGAAGAATACTAAAGAAACTAATACTCAAACAGGCTTTACTGAAGGAAATCACTGGTTAGAAGGACAACTATGGCCTTCAGATTGGCTAGAGCCAGCCTATAAAATTAAACATTTTCTGATCACATAACACATAGGAAGATATTTGTTCTCTATAATCTTTAATATCCTCATTTGTAAAATATGCAGAATAGCAATGTAAATATATGTCATTTATAAAACACTTTCATATGTATATATTTTAAACCCTCAGAAGACTTTTTACTACAAAATACCTGAGTACAAAACTATAGTTGTAAAATAAAAATGTACTCAATCTTTCATTTTATATAAAATATCTAAAGAAATAACCGTTTTGTTTTCCTTGAAATACATTGATTAAAAGTGGTATAACGGATAAAATTGAAACTACTTTACTTAAAATTAAATATATTAAACAGCCTATTATCATTTGTCCATTTCAGACCTCCCACATTTCTTCTGCTATATCCTGTTACATATAGGCTGATGACTAGAACTTTCTAACAATGTGGGATTGGGTGGAGTGGAATTGAATTAATTTTAAATTGTCAATTATAAAACTTACACTTACTGATTTTTAAATTTTTCTGCTGTGCGCATGAATTCTGCTTTCTTTGTTCGACTAACTTTCTGCTTCCAGTTTTGAAGTTGAAAAGGATGAATTCCACCTGAAGTACTAAAACAGCCATCATTCTGCATAAAGAACAAAAATGTTATCATCAGTAATCAAAGTGGTGAAAGATAAATATGGAATTCTTTTCAGAAAGATGAAACATCAATAGTGGAGTTTCTTGGGGGCTAATTTTTGGGCCAAATGAAGTTGTAAAAAATACACTTTGTGGAAAAAGAAATTCCTATCTTAAAATGCTAAATTCAGAAAGAATCATGTATCAGGATTATTTTCAAAAAAAGATCTAATTTATTCATCTGTTATTTATCATCTATGGCAGTGGTGGTGAACTTATGTCATGTATGTTACTGTGTTTTTTCTTTTAAGACAAGATTTTATTTATTTATTTATTTAATTGCGGGGGAGTTGAAACAGGGTCTCACTATGTAGTTGAGACTGACCTGGAACTCACTATGTAGCCCAGGCTGGTCTTGAACTTGCAGCAATCCTCCTGCCTCAGCCTCCCAAGTGCTGGGATTACAGGTGTGTGCCACCACGCCCAGCTTTAAAACAAGATTTTAATACATGAGTTGTGTTTTCTAAACTAAATCCTCAGTATATATTCAGGTTTAATTGCAGTGTTGGCGCTTTGCAGTAAGAGGGCTTTTAGTTGAAGTTTGGCACTCAAGTCTCTAAAAGGTTTGCCATCACTGATATAGGCTGAATGCTATAACATAACAGGTGCAGCATTAGACACTATGGAAAATTATGATCCACATGAGTATGGCCCATTTTAAAGTCTAGTGAGGAAGAGATTTAAAGATAAAAAGAAGAAGCAAGCAGTAAAACCAAACAATACAGCAACTATGGTAAGTGCTATTAAGAAAATAAATAGTGCTGAGATGGAGAATATACAGAATCAGGACTTATCTCTTCAGTTAGAATAGCCACAGGGTGTCTATTAGGAGGGTGACATTTAAGAAAGAATGGAACCCGCCATACTAGAAACACAGGGAAGGGTATTCCCAGCTCTGGAGTAAGCTGTGCAAAATTCCAAGGGCAGAAAAGACTGGCTAGTTCAAGCAGAGAAAGGGCAATTTTGACATGAGATTAGTAAAAAGGTGGGTTGAAGATAGCAGGTAGGTACGTGCCAGATACAGAGGTTTCAGGTCACTTAGTAGATTTTACTGAAGGGATTTGAGCAGGGAAATGCCATAGTAAACTTAACTCCTAAAGAAAATCTCTCTGGCTACCTTTTGAGAATAAGTTAGTATGAGGTGTAGGGATGGGGTGACACATGACTGGAAACATGAGGATCAATGCAGTAGCTGTTGTGGCTTTACAGGCAGGGAATCAAAGTCCAGAGTAGCCAGAGGATGATGGAAAATTTAAAAAGAAGGTTAAATATAATTTGTAAGTATAACCAAGAAGGACTGCTGAATAATAGAATGTGAGAAATGAAGGAAAAGGAAAATAAAGCTTTATATTTCTAGGAGCAAGAATAATGAATTTAAGAAATATTTTTTTTAATTGTGATATAATTCACATACCATACAATGCTATCTGCTTAAACAATTCACTAGTTTTTATTATATTCTCCAGATTGTTCAAGCATCACCACTACTTGGTTCCAGAATATTTTCATCATGCCAAAAAGAAACTCCATGTCCATTAGCAGTAATTCACCATCCCCACTTTCAAACAACTGCTGGAAGCTATGAACCTATTTTATAACTCCATGAATTTGTCTATTCTGGATAAATGGGCTTCTTTCACTTCACATAATGTTCTGAAGATTTACACATGTTGCATCATGGATCTGTATTTCATTCCTTTTTATGGCTGAATAACATTGCATTGTATTGATCTACCACATTTTGTTTATTCACTCATCAGTCACCAGCTGATTGGCAAATGAGTTATATTTACCATTTTGGAAATATGAATAATGCTACTATGAACATTTGTATACATGTTTTAATGTGAATATATGTTTTCAATTTGGGGGCGTATATGTCTAGCAGTAGAATTTCTGGTTGGTATGGTAACTATTTTTACTTTTCTGCTAAAAAAACCAGGTTGCTCTTTTAGTAAGCTAGGAGCAGTCTTCAAATAATTCTGAATATTAGTCCTTTATCAGATGGCAGATGGCTTCCCATGTTCTGAGTTGTCTTTTTACTTTATTATTTTTTTATTGAGTTTATTGGTACATTTTAGGGATACCGTACAGTTACATTTATTGTTGGGATCTTGTACCTCTACATGACAGGTCTTGGTTCTCATTTTTCCCCTTGTCCCTGCCCTCCCTTCACCCCCTCCTCCCCTCCCCATTTACAAATGCTTTATTTCAGTCTTCTCACATTTTTTTCTTTTCCCTTATTATCCTTCTCCTACCCATCCCACCTTCCCTACACCTTTAGCCCTTTTCTTCCAATTTTACATTGTCCATTATATCATTAGGATCTTATGTACTATTATAGTTTATTCACACCAAAGAAACTATTCGGTATTTACACATGTGTGACTTATTTATTTCACGTAGGAGTATATCCTCAATATGTATCCATTTTCCTATGAATGAATCTAATTTCTTATTCTTTAATGCTGAGTAGTATTCCATTTTATAGAAAAACCACGCCTTCTTTATCCAGCTTCCAACTGATGGGCAAATGGGCTGTACAAGTTTGTGAGTTTTTGAGGAGCTGCCACTCTTTTCCACAGTGGCAGCACCATTTTACATTCCCACTAGCAATGTATGAGAGTTCCAATTTCTCTACATCCTCATCAACATCTGTTACTGTCTTTTTTTATTATATTTAGTTTGTCTTTGATTAGTCCATAATGACTAATGATATTGAATACCCTTTCACATGCTTATTTGCCATTTCTTTTGAGGACGTGTCTCATTTTAGTTTTTGAAAGGAAATCAGTTTCTTGTACTTAATTCACAAACAATAATATCACAACAGCTGGTTTAAGGCCATTCAAACATTTGCCCAGCTCTCAATTCTACACTATTAGTGAATTTCTACATAGGTGGAAGGGTTGAGATTGGGGTCAAAGTTTCACGCTACGCCTCAGAAGCAAGGAAGCTATTAATATAAGACCATGTCAACTTAGTTTTACTACCAGTTATATATATATTTTATCCCAAATAACTGGGTCATCAGAGCTGATTTTCTAGTTCTTTAACTGACTGATTACATTAACCCACCTGCAAGTGTGCCCTATTTTAGCACCTCATTGAAACTCTCAGAGCTCAGTGTCACCCTTGATCTAGGAACACTCCAAAAACGGTTTTATCTCATAAAAGCAAGGGCTACCAAACTGCTGTTGCTCTCTCTCCTAGGTTCCTTGGGGCTCATGGTAAGTGATGCTAGGCTTAAGAGGCTAAGCATTACTTCCTTCTTTGAAGACCCCAGAGACAGCATGACCCAAAATGTACCCAACAGTAGAGGCTGATAACCATTTCTGCTACAGTGGCTGCTATCCAGGCCAGTGGTGCAAATACATGGCGTGTGCATTACCGTGTTTTTCTTTTAAGACAAAAGACACTAATGTGTGAGTTGTTTTTTCTAAACTAAAATCTCACTATTCGGGTTTAATTGTAGTGTTGGCACTTTGCAATAAATGAGTTTTGGGTTGCAGTATGGCACTCAGTCTAAAAGGTTTGCCCATCACTGATCTAGGCCATCAGACCTGGCTGCTTAGGTGTAGCAGTGTGCCAAATGCAAGTGTGTGTGTATGTGTGTGCAGGGATGGTGGGGGGACTGCTGTTGGTGGCTGAGCTGCTTTGGGGCCTCAGTGCTCTCATCTTTTGCTGGCTCTATCTGAAGGGCCTTGTTGATTTAGAGGAATCAGGCAGCAAGTGCTGCTTCAGATTCAATGATGCATGGTAAGTGTATAGTAGACTGGTGTCTAGAAATTCAAAACTGCCTACAGCCTGGAGGCTACTGCCCTTTTTTTTCCATTTAAAAAACTGGGTTAACTTTTTTTTTTAATTGCTGAGTTGAAATAGTCTCTTCAGGCCAGGCGTAGTGGCATACACCTGTAATCCCAGCACTCAGGGGGCTGAGGCAGGAGGATCGCTGTGAGTTCAAGACCAGCCTGGGCTACATAGTGAGTTCCAGGTCAGTCTCAACTACATAGTGAAACCCTATTTCAAAAAACCAAAAAAATAAAGAAAGAAAGAAAAAAAAAAAGAAAGAAAGTCTGTTCAGTCTGTAGTAGTTCAGTAGGGAAACCCTAGCAGATACTTCCAATATCATGAAGTTGTAATGAGAAAAATTATCTCAAGAAAACATTTGTTGTCTGTCAGCAGGAATACTAATTCACTTAATCACATGACTAATACGTCAACTTCAGTGTGTGGCTATACAATTCATATATATAAATGTGTGTGGGGTATATGGAGAAAGAACAAAGATGTATAACATATATACTCCTTAAAAATATCACAACATAGTACACAGTGATGTGAACTTTTAAATCCAAACACATCTGAGCAAATTTACTTCATTATTGTTGCAATTCTCTGCTATGAAACTCTGACTTGCCTTCTAGTGGTAAGGTGGTATATATAAAACAGGGGCCATTCCCAGGCTTGCAAAGAAGTAGCAGCACCAGGTGTCACAGATGACTTGAACATTTAAAGTGTTGCTCTCAAACTAAGAAGTACTGTATAAGCCAAGGTTTGACAAATTATCAGCATGTATACAACAGCAAAAGTCACATTAATTGTGCAAAAGCACACCAAATGCAAAGTTTTACTTTTCTTTCTTTTTTTTCTTTTTCTTTTCTTTTTTTTTTTTTTTTTTTTTTTTTTTTTTTTTTTTGTGGTACCGGGGATTGAGCTCCGATCCTTGCGCTTGCAAGGCAGGCCACTGAACTGCTGAGCTAATCCCTGGCCCCAACTTTTACTTTTCAATTAAAAGCTGTTTGTATCATTGAAAGGTCTGTTATTCTTTTAAGACAAAAGATGTTAATGTATGAGTTTTTCTAAACCAAAACCACAGTATTCAGGTCTACTTGCAGTGTTAGAACTTTGCAATAAATAAGTGGGTTTTGGGCTGCAGCTTGGGCA